TGGCATCCAGCACAGTGCAGCATCCTCCTGCTCCCTGTGGCATCCAGCACAGTGCAGCATCCTCCTGCTCCATCGGGGCAGGCTAATTGCCCCAGCAAAGATGCTGCAGTGTGGCCAGGGCTGCCTCTCTGCTCCGTGCCTGCTGCATTCCCTGTTCTGGCTGCGGCGCTGGAAATGTTACTTCCTTTGCTTGCACGCACTATTTATTTACTTTCTCTGGTGGAACAGAGCCATTATTCTTTGCTCTAGGCATGTGCTGACACATTTAAAAGATGCATTTGTAAGAACAGAGGACATCTGTAACTCTCTTGGACTAATAATCAACACATACCATAATGCAGGAGCTAAATGAGTATTTAAAATCTTTATACTCCCCTAGGCCCTGCCAGTGGGGACTCCCCCCAGCCAGAGCCATGGACTACACATCCACCTGTGTTTTATCATCTGGTTATTGCAGCATCAAGATCTTTATTGCAGCTCCCAGCATGCATCTTTGGGAGCTGAAAAGATTGCCTAAATGTACCTCTGTTTCACCTAGTAGGGTGAAACCTGGGGTAGCACTGTGATCTAGTGCAAATGCTGCTATTTGACTGCATGCCTATTTTTTTTTTTTTTTAGTTTGGGGACAACTAGGGTTACCACATTCTTTCTTGCCTTCCTCAAGCTCCCTATAGATCTGTGCTTTGTTTCTAGCCCGTGTGAAGAGAGCTGAACGTTTGTGTGCTGATGCTGTATTCAAAGGCAGGCTGCTGCTGAGCGTGGATTTCCTTCTGCCCGCTCTACACTCGCCCAGGCATCCCGAGTGCAGTAAGGCTGCTGCTCTGAGCTCCTGGTCCTGGATGAGCTCCCAAGTTTTTTAAGCTCAGGGAGTCTTCTGGCTTTCCTGGCCTGTTTATTTTTCCCTCTTAACACAATGACACACAGTATCACTTCATGGATGGAGTCTGACAGAGAAAGTGGACAAGCTGAACCAGCTGCACTGAAAAGACAAAAAGGATGCTTTATCGTACAGTTTTTGTCCTCAACCATTTATATTCTCTAAATGTCAAGAACTGCCACTTTGATTTTCCTGAGAAATAACCACTTTCCTATTCACTGAGAGCTTTTTCTTTGTCTCAGCATAAGGATTGACTTGCAGGAAAGCAGGATAGCCTGTTTGCCAGGCAAGATCAATCTGATCCAGTATAGGCATCAGTAAGGAAGACACAGCTGAGCTAATTGGCTAAACTGCCTTTAAAACCAACCTAGAGAAACATGTCCTTCAGGGAGGCGGTTGAGCACATCCTAAAGGCAACACCAGGACAGCTTAGGTGATCTGGAGCACAGGAGTGCCTATCGCTCCCCATCCTGTCCTGCAGGAAGCTAGGGCTGACTGGCACAGGCACAGATGTCTACACAGACATGGAAAATGAAAAGATGGAAGAGATGGAAGATGGAAGGTGGAAAAGATGGAGATGGAAGTTCCATCTCCAGGTGAGGAGGAACTTCTTCCCTGTGAGGGTGCCAGAGCCCAGGCTGCCCAGGGAGGCTGTGGAGTCTCCTTCTCTGGAGACCTTCCCAACCTGCCTGGATGCCGCCCTGTGCCCCGTGCTCTGGGTGTCCCTGCTGGAGCAGGGGGTGGGACTGGATGATCTCTAGAGGTCCCTGCCAACCTTAAACATTCTGTGAAAAGAGAGAAAGCCGAGCCCAGGTAGCTGCTGTGCCCTGGGTGTTCGGGCAAGAGCGAAGCAATGGCTACGAGTCACTCTCTATTTGTCCCCTCCTTCCTCTGAAAAAAAAAAAAAAAAAAGAAAAGAAAAAAAAAGCAGCGGCCTCTGCACAAAAGATATGCGAGACTCGGATCTTTTGTGTATTTCCAGGGAAAGAGGATAGCCCAAATACTGTGCAGAAATAAACAGTGTGATAACCATCTCATTCCAGTGGGCACCACAGTGAAATGCTGGTGGGTTTTGAGCGGCTCGCGGCACGCATAGCTCATGGAGGCAGTCCCGATGATTGACTTGAGGCGAGGACTCTCTGGTTTCATGCACAGGCCCCTTTGGCGAGTGCTACTAATAGCCACTCGGGGAGGGTGCTGCTTATTTCTCTGGCCCCCAAGAAGTCTGTCTTTGAAGGCTGCCCAGCACTCAGAACGGGTCTGTACGGACAGGCTGAGTGTGTAGACGGAGCATCAGGGCATCTCTTAGGCCATAGCCCTGGCCTCCGTCACAGCCACAAGTTCCTCCTGCTCAGTCCAAGGGCGGGCTGAAAATACCCCCTGCTCCGTCAGCAGCACGACTGCCAGGAGGATCCCTCACTGCACACTGAGACCCTTGCAGAAATTCCTGTTCCCTGGTAGGAATAAGACACAAAAATGGTAGGATTTGCACTAACGATTGCGTTGGCTGGACTGTTAAGAGTTTTGTATTGCACTGGCCACACTAACCTGGGAGAAGAAAATGTCCAGGGAATTGTCGTCTTCTCTCTTACTCCCCGTGTCCCCTAATTGGAAAATCCGAACGTAACTGCCATAATGTGCAACTTTTCCTGGATTTTATTTCTCATCAAACTGTATGAAATGAAGCCAAATATTTTTACGCTAGAGTTCTGGACAGGCAGATTGAATTCATGGAATAGCAACATGGACTCTCTAAAAAGAAATCAATGCAAGCATGACCTTTTTGGGCAAGGAGCCAAACTCAGAATTATTTAATGTACCAATTACTTGATTATTGGAAGTGCTAATCAGCAACATAATCCATGATGTTAAAGTTTAGTCTCTCCATCAGGATGTGGACTGTCAAGCTGTTATAGCTCAGTGCAATTCAAACAACCAGCAAAAGATGTGTCAGTGCCAAAGCCCCACTGTGATAAAGGAGAAATGAAGCGAATAAGAAGAATATTTTGTTGAATGCAAATGACAAATGTGAGTTCTCTAAAACTAGTGGTGTTAGTGTCGCCTAACTGCATGCTCTTCATCCAGGCAAGACCAATTTGAAGCCTCAAGTTTTGTTGTCAAGATTTTTTAAGGCGAGTAAGTCAAAATGCTGTGGGCCACGTGGCTTTGACATGATGGTTGTGGAAAACTGAATGAGAAAGTTAAATGGCACACGCTAAACTGACAGCCAGCTTCTGTGCACGCATGTGTGTGGGTGAGCTTGAATGTGCATGTGTTGACTAGTCCTATGTTGAAGGAAGAAGGATAAGAAAAGAAAGGAGGCTATTTTTTGCCTGGGTAAGCAGAATTTCTCCCAGAAGTATAGAAATATCAGGAACACGGCCACCTACTGAGCCAACCCCTGTGTCCTGGGGTCAGCATCTGCTGAGTTACAGGCCCAAACCTCCAGCTGTCTAGTCCATACATTGTAGTCGTAAAAATATACAATGTGCAGAATGCTCCAGTCCAGAGCAGAGGTAATGTATATCCCAGTGTGAACTCCCCAGCCTGTAACAGTCCAAGGCAAGGTTTCCTGCTCTGGTCAGGATTCCTGAGGCAAGGGGCAGAGCTGTTAACCTGCCTTGCTGCCTTAGGAGTTTTTACAGCTCCCATGTATCATATATCTAATAGCATTTTCCCTGCCCTCATTGCTCCGGTCAGGACAGAATGTGACTCTACAGGTGTACCTGAAAACAAATTTTATATATTTACACCTTTATGACAGTTACCTTTGTTGATGCAGTACTATGGGCCAGAACTTTAGCTCATTTTAGCTGGATAAGGTTCCATTGGTGCTAAATTAATTTAAATCAGCAAAGCAATTGGACTCCCACACTTAACACCTAGTTCAGAAGTTTTCCTTCACCTGGCTTCTTAAGAGCAGAAATTTTCCATTTATTCTAAGGGAGACAGGAGAGACTGTTAACACCACAAAGCCTTAAACACATTTGCTTGGAACTGCAGCTTTGCCCCTGAGAGCTGCCTGGTACTAGCAACGTGATCTTACGTTTCAAAATTGCCTTGGTAGCTTCTTAGATATATTAAATTAGAAAAAGGGTTTC